TGCTCCTTCCTCCTTTTCATAAGACAGTATGTCAACAGAACACCCTCAACCCAGCCCCTTACTACACTTGTCTGATGACAGAGAGCCTCCTAGTTATCTCTGTAGTTCAAGAAGTGTCCATGCCAGAAGAGAATTTAGGAAGGACACTCCTGCCCAGAGCCTGCCTCAGTGCTGCTTGTTGCTGGGTCTTACCTCACTAGGGAAAAGGGGCAATTCCGGGCTGCTTATGAAGTCACCTGGGTCATGGTTTCAGAGTGTCTTTCTTCTTCTAGTGCTTCCAGGTACACGGCTCCATATCTGTTGCCTGAGTCTTAAATGTTTCTGTGTGGCTACTGTCCTGACAGTAAATTCAATAAATGATTCAGACACAGAACCAGGATAAAATGACGGTGATCCGCGCTCAAACTGGAGATCAGCTCTCTACAAGCCAGTCTTGCCTTTAAGGGCATCCAACAACAGTGGTGAGGATCTAGGCAGTCCCTGATGATCTCTCCTAGAGCTCAACCACCTCCAACAACACCAAAGATACACACACACACACACACAGAAAAAGATGGACTGTCCTGAAGACACAGGAAAAAGTAGCCATCAGAGTGTAAAATGCCACAGCTGCTGGGGAAATGGTCTGTCAGTTTCTTAGAAAGTGAAGCACGGAACTATCCTATGACCCAGCAATTCCACTCCTAAGTGTATGCCCAAGAGAACCAAAAACATGCGTTCACACAGAAACTTCTACATGAATGTTCACAGCAGCATGACCTGTAATAGCCAAAGAGTGGAAACCACCCAAGTGCTATCCACGGACTCTTCCCTGCAGACTCAGACCAGCAGACACAAGACCACACACAGGTCAAGGGAGAGAACTGGCACCTTCTCCTTCCACAGGCACAACCACTCAAGCCTAGGGTTAGCACAGACCTCAGTCACCACGTGGGGTCTGAGACACTCCTCAGAAGATGAAACCGAGGGTCACGGACACAAGAACACAGGGCTGGTCAGAGGCAGAAGCTGAACTGGCCCCTGGGCCTCAACTCCCAGCCCATCTCTTTCCCACATTGCCTGCCTGCAGTAGTGCAAGTATGTGGGAAGACAGGGAGAAGTGATGGTCACGGACACAAGGGTGCTCTGCTATCAAGTCTCGGGAGCTCTTACGTCCATGACACGGGTGAGTTTACTGTATGTAAATTTTAACTTTTTGCAAGTTTTTATTTCAATTCCAGGTAGCTAACATACAGTGTAATATTAGTTTCAGGTGTGCAATGTAGTGATTGGACTTCCGTACATCACCCGGTGCTCATCAGGACAAGTGCACTCCTGACTCCCCACGCCTATTTCCTCTATCCCCCGGCCCACCTCCCCCTCCAGTGACCACCAGTGTAGTGTGTTGTCTAGAGTTAAGAGTCTGTTCGTTGGTTTCTCTCTCTCTCTCTTTTTCCCCTTTTCTTGTTTGTTTTGTTTCTTAAATTCCACACATGAGTGAGATCATACAGTATTTTCTTTCTCTGACTGACTTATTTCACTTTGCATTGATATTCTCTAGCTCCATCTATGTCATTGCAAATGGCAAGATTTCATTCCTTTTTATGGCCAAGTAATATTCCATTGTGGCTATATACCACATCTTCTTTATCCATTCATCAGTCGATGGACACTTGGGCTGTTTCCATAATTTAGCTATTGTAGATAATGCTGCCACAAATATAGGAGTGCACATATCTTTTCAAGTTAGTGATTTCATATCCTTTGGGTAAATACCCAATAGTGCAATTGCTGGATCGTAGAAGAGTTCTATTTTTAACTTTTGGAGGTACCTCCATACTGTTTTCCAGAGTGGCTGCACCAGTTTGCATTCCCACCAGCAGTGCATGAGGGTTCCTTTTTCTCTGCATCCTCGTCAACACTTGTTGTTTCCTGTGTTGTTAATTTTAGCCATTCTGACAGGTGTGGGGTGATAGCTCATTGTAGTTTTGATTTGTATTTCCCTGATGATGAGTGATGTTGAGCATCTTTTCATGTGTCTATTGGCCATCTGGATGTCTTCTTTGAAGAAATGTTTGTTGATGTCTTCTGCCCATTTTCAACTGGATTATTTGTGTTTTGGGTGTTGAGTTGTATCTGTCCTTTACATATTTTGGATACTAACCCTTTATCAGATATGTTACTTGCAAATATCTTTTCCCATTCCGTAGGTTGCCTTTCAGTTTGTCAGTATTTCCTTTACTGTGCAAAAGCTTTTTATTTTGATGAAATCCCAGTAGTTTATCTTTGCTTTTATTTCCCTTGCCTCAGGAAACATATCTAGAAAGAAGTTGCTTTGGCCAAGGTCAAAGAGGTTACTGCTTGTGTTCTCCTCCAGGATTTTGATGGTTTCAGGTCTCACATTTAGGTCTTTCATCCATTCTAAATTTATTTTTGTGTATGGTGTAAGAAAGTGGTCCAGTTTCATCCTTTTGCATGTTGCTGTCCAGTTTTCCCAACACCATTTTGTTGAAGAAACAGGTTTTTTTTCCACTGGATAGTCTTTCCTGCTCTGTCAAAGATTAAGTGACCATACAATTTTGGGTTCATTTCTGGGTTTTCTATTCTGTTCGCCTGAGCTATGTATCTATTTTGTGCCAATACCATACTGTTTTGACGACTACAGCTTTGAAATATAACTTGAAGTCAGAATTGTGATTTTTTTTTTTTTTCAAGGTTGCTTTGGCTATTTGGGGTCTTTTGTGGGTCCAGAAAATTTTAGGATTGTTTGTTCTAGCTCTGTGAAAAATGCTGTGATACTCTATAAAGAAAACCTGAAAGATTCCACTAAAAAACTGCTAGAACTGATAAGCAAATTCAGTTAAGTCACAGGATACAAAATCAATGTATAGAAATCTATTGCATTTCTCTACACCAATAATGAAGCAGCAGAAAGAGAAATTAAGGAATCAATCCCATTTACAACTGCACCAAAAACAATAAGACACCTAGGAATAGGGGCACCTGGGTGGCTCAGATCGTTAGGTGCATCTGGCTTTGGTTCAGGTCATGATCGCAGGGTCCTGAGATCGAGCCCCGAGTCAGGCTCCCAGCTCAGCAGGAAGTCAGCTTCTCTCTCTCCCTCTGCCTCTCCCCCTGCTTGTGCTCTGTCTCTCTCAATGAATAAATAAAATCTTAAAAGAAAAAAAAAAAAAGACACCTAGGAATAAACCTAACCAAAGAGGTAAAAGACCTGTATTCTGAAAACCATAAAACACTGATGAAAAAAATTGAAGATGACACAAAGAAATGGAAAGGCATTCCATGCTCATGGACTGGAAGAACAAATATTGTTAATATGTCTACACTACCCAAAGCAATCTACACATTTAAGGCAATCCCTCTCAAAATACCAACTATATGTAAATTTTTTAAAAAAAGAATCCTTGTTTGGGGCACCTGGGTGGCTGAGTCGGTTAAGCGTCTGCCTTCGGCTCAGGTCACGATCCCAGGGTCCTGGGATCAAGTCCCTGCTCAGCAGGGAGTCTGCTTCTCCCTCTGCCTCTGCTGCTCCCCCTGCTTGTGTGCTCTCTGTCAATTAAATAAAATCTTTTAAAAAAAAAGAATCCTTGTTTTAGAAGGCAGAGGATCTATGTGACAGCCAACCCAAAGTCTCTACTGTACTGCCTACTCCCCATTGGACAGAGTCTTGGTATTGGAGATAGGTAAGACCCCACGGTCTCTGTGAAGCAGCACTTTAATAAAGTACCACCATAGTAAGTAATCTTCCCAGTAAAATTCACAACATGGAAGTGAAAAATTTAAGTACACACTTTCCAACTCTTTGTGAGTTCCCACGTAAGCCACCCCAGGTAGCTATAAACAAGGCCAAATTGAGTTCGTGTATTGGGCAACATGGCTGCTTTAACTGCTGGCCAACCACCTCACCCCCACACACCATACAGCAATTCAAGCGGCTCAGATTCACAGCTTAGCAGAATGACAAATCACATTCTTCACAGGGCTTTGGGGTCCCCAGCAAACAGCAGAGAATTCAATCACCAAGTCTGCAAATGCCTTCTGTTTTAAAAAAGACCTTAAAACAATTTAGAAAGTGGAGCAATGCAAGCCCCCTCCACCTGAAGATGCCGTCGGAAGCATGCCATGCGATCCTGGAAAAGGGCCAGGCTAAGCCAGGACTTGCCCAGACACCGTCAGAGTCTCAATATCCACCTCAAAGAAGTATCACCAATTTTTAAGGGATTATGAAGAAAATGTCTACACAGGATCTACCTTATTAGGATTTCAGTAAATGAAGGATAATGCCATGAGGAAAAATAAGATTTCCTCTCTCTTTAATGGCAGAGAATTACCCTAAGAGAGGCATAGGATAGAGCAGAAAGGAAAGAGCAATGGGACAGAGCAAATATATAAAGAGTAAATCTAACAGTCACGGCAATAGATCTAACTATTTCACTGACATCAGAACAATAATACTCACTAGTATCTACCACCTCCCACTATACTGATAGGATTTATTAATTATCTAGTTATTTAGCCTTATCCCTTACAGCAGTTTTGCCATAGAATTCTATCCTAGAAAAACTGTCATCTTTGGGAGACAATTTAGGGTTTTGGAATTCTTTTAATTATTGTACCAAAACAATAGCAAGAGCTTCGCTTATGCTTAAGGCTTCTACTTTAGCTAGAAGTTCGTAAAATGATTCCTAATAATAAGTAACTAAACTTAGTTTTGTTTTGACTTCCTTCCATGCACAGAAGTGAACAGAACAGGCAAACCCATCCTGTTTCCTAGATCAGTCTTCTTACTGACCGACGCTTATCAGATTCGCCTGGGGGGGGTTGCCCCACAACACACACACCTGGTACCTATCCCAGGCCCACAAGATCAGGTTCTCTAGGGTAAGAACCACAGGACATTGAAAAAGTTCCAGGAGACATTCCTGCATACACACCCCCGGCTATAATCACCACTCCAGACACACAGCTAACAGTCACTGCATCTCAAAAGAGTGACTTACTTGTTACGATCCCAGCCAAAGCAAACACAAACTGATTTTCATCGGAATCAAGCTCCTTGACATCCCCATCCAGTGACTTCACAAAACTCTCCATTGTTTGACCAGTGATGCTGAAAAACTTCAAAGCTTTATCCTGAAAGTTTGGAAAGGAAAATATCACACCCCCGCACAAATACTGGTACAAAACATTACAAGAGTACAAAGGCACAAAAGGAAGACTCTGTGTTAATGACAGAAGCAGTATTTAAAAGTCTGCTCCTTCATTCCAAGTTCCCATATGGAAAAGAACAGAAAAAGGAAATTTGGAATCTGTAGAAAAATTACCCTGCAGACTGATGGAAGGAGCAAAATAAAATATATGTGAGGGAACAGCACAAGTTTACAGTGGTGGCAGTATCAGGATGGGTTCATCCAAAATCCACTAGGAATATGCTAGAAAAATACATTCTCTGTTGGTTCCAGGCATGAAGCCACAGGTTTCAACCATTGGAGAACGGAGTTTCAAACAAAATCTTAACAGAAACGTCAACATGTCAAGAGACGAAGGCAGCGAGCAGGCTTGTTGGGCACTTTAAAACTTCGTTACTTAGCAGAAGTCCCTCCAAGCACACAGAACTTTTGAAACGCTTCCCGGGGGTGCTAAGAGTTCTAAGGGATAACTTCAAAGCCGACACATTTACCAACGGCACAAGGCCACGTCATCGGCTGACAGAATGTTCTGAGCCTGGGATGTGGGGATGATTACACAACTCTGGAAATGAGCTAAAACCACTAAAACTGTCCACTCACAAATGGGTAAATTTTATGTGTAAATTACACCTAAATAAAGCTCAATAAATGTTAAAATACAATTAATCTCCACTCAAGTCACACAGAATTTTTGTTTCTCCAAGTCCTAAGTAATGGACTGCTGGCCTCCTGTCGAACCTCCCCCTGTACCTGTACTCCCGTTCACAAGCACAGCCTCCTCCTGGAGTGCAGCCACAAGCCCCCTGGCACCACACCCGCCTTCCCTGCCCCTCACAGCAGGGCGCTGCCCGAGCCCTGAGCCACCAGAGGCCCTTCCAGTTAGCCTTCCTGTCTGTCCCATGCCCACGCCGCTCCTACCTACCCTCGCTCACAGTCAGCACAATCTTCCCGAAGCCTCTTGCCCCACCATTCTTTTACTCAAAACCCTCAGGAATCCAGTCTTAGCACCTACTGGGTAAAATCAGCAAGCTGGCTACTGAGGCCTTCCAAAATCACACTGCATCCTACTTCTGCAGGTTATCTCCCCCTGACTTTACTGCACTGACCCTCTACTCTGTGTCCACCGACCCACGCATGGCCCCCAACGCTAACTTCACGCTTCTCAGCCCATGCCTCCAATGATGCCATTCCTCTCCCCTCCCCATTATCTGCCCTTGCCACCTACTCGAGGTCATCAAAGCCCATGTCAAATCTCTCTTCCTCCGGGAAGTTTCTGCGTGTGCGGGAGTGTGTGTGTGTACTATTAACATCCATAAAGACATAAATAACATATAACTTTCAACAAATCAAATATTATGTTACTCATGGGATAACCTACATAGAAGCACTTAAACTCTGTTAAATGTGTATAGGTGTCAGGGAACGATACTGAAGTGGTACTATCTCCACAAGCACCATACAGATTCTGGGAAAGGAGGGGTCTTATTTCGCTCATTTCCCACACCCCTAGAGCACCAGCTTACATCAGACCCTACACACTGCTGGATGAATGAACATAAGACATTCTCTTCATCTGTAAGCTCCTTAGTAGATACTCTGTACCCTCTGGGTTCCATCAACACTGATAGACAATATCCAGGGAGCCCAGTGGTCATGCTTACTCCTGCCAGAATGGCTTTGACGACGTCCTCACTGCTGGAGACGCCCCACAAAAGGGTGCAGGCTGCTGCTCCCATTTCCGTACAGTATTCTGCCTGCTGCAGGAGTTGCTGCTTTGCTTCATTCAGCTGCTGTCGAAGAGCAAGTTTCTCCTAAAATCAAAACAGAATAAAATCAGCAAAATGAATAGCATTCAACCTTGAAATAACTCTATTGTGTTTCTCATTCAAAGATTTAAAAAAAAAAAAAAAGCACACAGAATTACAGAAAACAGTTGGCAAATGAAAACTGGTCCTTAGACAGCCATAATCTAGATCTTTTAAAACTTCAGAGGAAAAATAACAATCTCAAAAAAGAACATACTGGTGTATTAGAGTTTACAAATATTGCCAAAGACCTGAATTCATCTTGAATTCAAATGAAGGCACCTCAGGTCCCAAGTGGCTATACCCAGAATCAACACCGATGGGGGCACCTGAACAAAGTAACAACTGAACACAGCAGTCCACAGAGCACCATTTCTAGTAGAAGAGGCTGCCCACCCCCCCAGATGGCTCACTCCACTGGAAACACACCAAATGACACAGCTAAGCCCGGCTAGGACAGATGGGGCAGAGACAGAGAGAAGTGGGAAGGAGGGCCTCCCAGGCATGCTGCACAGGGCAAGCTGAGTGCCAGCATGACAGGAAGATGGAGGTCAGTGGGGCCTCTGAAGAACACCACTGGAAAATCTCAGCCAGGGCTCTTAACAGTGAATTGTCCTCCTGATAGTCCCTTAGACCACACAAACAAGCCTAAAGCCTCGTTTCAGGTGGCTCTTGGGTAGTATGGGGCTTTCTGACCTCCCCCAACCTCCACCACTGGTTGCACTATTGTTGTTACCTGAAGCTCCCTCAAAAGGTGAGAGTGTTTCGTTACTTAACAAGAGATAAACTTAAGAAATATAGAAACCTGGTGGCTCAATCAGTTGAGCGTCCAACTCTTGATTTCGGCTCAGTTTGTGATCTCAGGGTGGTGGGATCGAGCCTCGTGTCAGGCTCCACGCTCAGCTGGGGGTCTGCTTCCCTCTCCCTCTGCCCCTCTCTCTCAAATAAATAAATCTTTTTAAAAAGTTAAAGTATTCTAGGGTGCCTGGGTGGCTCAGATGGTTAAGCGTCTACCTTCAGCTCAGGTCATGATCCCAGGGTCCTGGGATCGAGTCCCGCATCGGGCTCCCTGCTCCTTGGGAGCCTGCTTCTCCCTCTGCCTCTCTCTCTCTCTCTCTCATGAATAAATAAATAAAATCTTTAAATAAATAAATAAATAATAAAAAGTTAAAGTATTCTAGGGGCGCCTGGGTGGCTCAGTCATTAAGCGTCTGCCTTCGGCTCAGGTCATGGTCCCAGGGTCCTAGGATCGAGCCCCACATCGGGCTCCCTGCTCAGCGGGAAGCCTGCTTCTCCCTCTCCCACCCGCCCCTGCTTGTGTTCCCTCTCTCGCTGTGTCTCTGTCAAAATAAAAATAAATTTTATAAAAATCTTTTTAAAAAAGTTGAAGTATTCTAGATGTTTTAGGTTTTTCTTTTAGAGAGGTGAGTGCAGGACAGTTAGAGGGGAAGAAAAGGAGGGAATGGGCCACAAATCAAACCTGACCTGGGGTGGCCCATTCACATCTACTGGGATGGTGCATTTGGTATGCAGAGTTCCATACACATTCAGACATATATTCACACTCATTTTAGGAGAAAAGTTGGTCACTGAACCTACGACACATGCTAATACTGCCTTAGGTGATTACAAACTCTGGTTTCACCCTAGTAGTCATCTGGATTCCTAGTTCTGTTCTTCAGGGGTCTGCAGCCGAACCCACTCAAGTCAGGGGGACATGTGCAAACCTACATCAAACACTTCCTTTCCGAACTCTAGCCTTTCTCACAGTCGAAGCAGTCTGTATTCCAATTAGTCTGGTTATGATGGTTCTTTGACAAGATCACACAATAACTGCTGAGAATGACCAGACAGGATGGTCTTCACTGCAGTACATTTGGTGGCTGCAGGCAGATATGCCCTGACAAAGGGCTGCACATTTAGTACAGTAATATCAAGAAAAACTCAACAAAAGTAATTCCATCCACAATAACATCAAAAATAAGAAAAAGGAATAAACTTAAGAAAAGTAGTTTAAGTCCTGTATAGTAAAAACTACAAAGCATCACTTAGAAAAACTACAGAAGATGTCAATCAATGGAAACACATACCATGTTCATAGACTGGAAGACTAATGTAGGTGAGATGATAATCTCCCCAAACTGACCTATAGGTTCAATGTCTATCAAATCCCTGTCAAAATGTCAGCAGGCTCGTTTGTACAAACAGATAATCTGATTTTAAAATGCATACGGAAATGCAAAAATAAGTGTGAAAAAGAAAAACAATGCTGAAGAGAACTAACACCGCCTGATTTCAAAAACAAAAAACAAAAACCTATTATAAAGCTATAGAAATCAAACCAGTGTGGTATTAGTATAAGGACAGACATACAGATCAATGAAACATTAACATTTATGGCAATTGATTTTAACAGAAGTGCCAAGGCAATTCAATGGAAAAAGTATAGTCTCTTTAACAAATTGATGCTAAAACAACTAGATAGATATTCATATGCAAAATAATAATAATAACTCAAAATGAATCACAGACCTAAATGTAAAATGTCTAGGAAAAAACCTCTGTGGCCTTGGGTTAGGCAAATATTTCTTAGATATCATAACAAAATCATAATCCATTAAAAATAATAAATTGAACTTCATCAACATTTAAAACTTTTACTCTTCAAAAGACACCATCAAGAAAGTACAAAGACAAGTGATAGACTAAAATAAATTATTTCCTTTTTTTAAAAAGATTTTATTTATTTATTTTGAGAGAGTGCGTGTGAGAAAAGAGAGAGCACAAGCAGAGGGGAGGGGAAGAGGCAGAGGGAGAAGCAGGTTCCCCACTGAGCAAGGAGCCCAATGCGGGACTTGATCCTAGAACCCTGGGATCATGACCTGAGCCAAAGGCAGACGCTTAACTGACTGAACCACCCAGGTGCCCCAAGAGACTCTTAACCATAGGAAACAAACTGAGGGTTGCTGGAGGGGTAAGGGGTAGGGGGATGGGGTAACTGGGTGATGGGCATTAAGGAGGGTACATCATGTAATGAGCACTGGGTGTTATTACAACTGATGAATCATTGAACTCTACCTCTGAAACTAGTAATATACTATATGTTAACTACATTGAATTTAAATTTAAAAAAAAAAGATGATGTTGGTTGGGAAAAAAACAGGCAAAAGTTATACACCAGAAATTCATGTAACATTGTGTGTCAAGTTTGTTTCAATAACAAAAACATAATTTAGGCAAAAGATGTAAATAGACATTTATCCAAAAAAATATATGAATGACATGAAAAGATGTTCAACATGAAGGTAATAGAAATTAAAACCACAATCAGATACCATTACACACTCACTAAAATGGCTATAACTCAAAGTACCAACAATACCAAGTGTTCACAAGAATATGGAATAGTAGGACTTCACAACTGCTGGGTGGAATGCAGAATGGCACACTCACTCTTGGTAAACAGTGTGGCAGTTTCTCACAAAGTTAACCGTATACTCACCATATGACCCAACAATTTCACTCCCAGGTAACCCCCAAGAAAAATTAAAATATATGTCCACACAAACACTTGTACATGAATGTTCACAGCAGTATTATTCATAAGAGTCAAAAATCGGAAGTAACTAAATGTCTATCAACTGGTGAAAAAATAAAGAAAATGCGGTACAATAGAAAGAAAAAACAATTGACACATGCTAACATAAAGGAACTTCCAAAGCATTACACCAAACATAAAATACTACATATTGTATTTCTGTATTTCTATAAAATATTCAGAAAAGGCAAATCTATAGAGACAGCAGATCTATGGTTGCCTAGGGCTGAGCAAGGGAGCAAGGACTAACTACAAACAAGTATGTGATAGAAATGTTCTAAAAATTGGACAAAATCCAGCACTCACTCGTGATAAAAATTCTCAACAAACTAGCAATAGAAGGGAACTTCCTCAACTTGATAAAAAGCATCTACAAAACACTGCAGCTAAAATCATATTTATGTCTATAATGGGGAAGGCTACAAACGAATAGGGGTGGGGGTACATGGGAAATCTCTGTATTTTCCACTCAATTTTGCTGGAAACCCAATGGAATATTACTCAGCCACAAAAAAAACCCAAAATCTTGCCATTGGCAATGACATGGATGGAGCTAGAGAGTATTATGCTAAGCGAAATAAGTCAGTCAGAGAAAGACAAATACCATATGATCTCACTCATACATGGAATATAAGAAACAAAACAAAGGGGGGGGGGAAGGAGAGAGAGAGGCAAACCAAGAAACAGACTCAATCCTAGAGAACACATTGATGGTGACTGGAGGGGAGGTGGGCAGGGGGATGGGGGAAATAGGGGATGGGGAGTCAGGGGGGCACTTGTTCTGATGAGCACCGGGTGATGTACGGAAGCGTTGAACCACTATATTGTTCATCTGAAACTAATATTATACTGTATGTAACTAACTGAAATTTAAATAAAAACTAAAAAAAAAAAAAGGTCTATTTTTTTTTTTAATCATACTTACTGGTGAGAGATTGCTTTCCCCCGAGGTCAGGAACAAGGCAAGACTGTCTGCTCTTGCCACTCTTATTTAACACAGTCGCAGAAGTTCCAGACAGTGTAATAACACAAAAGAAACAAAAGGCAGAGAGAGTAGAAGAGCTAGAACTGTCTATATAAAATCTCAAGGAATGTAAAAAAAGACTTCATAAGTGAGTTCAGCCAGATCACAAGTTACAAGATCAACACACAAAAAGCAATCACATTGCTATATGCTAACAACAAAAAAGTGAAAACTAAAATTTAAAACACAACACCATTTAAAATTGTTCCAAAGAAAATGAAATGCCAGACACCTGGGAGGCTCAGTCAGTTAAGCGTCTGCCTTCAGCTCAGGTTATAATCCCAGGGTCCTAGGATCGAGCCCTGCACTGGGCTCTCTGTTCCTCGGGGAGTCTGCTCTCCCTCTCCCTCTTCCTGCTGCTCCCCCTGTTTGTGCTCTCTCACT